CAGACTCTCCACAGGAGCAACAGGACAATGTTAATGGGCCGCGGCGACCGACGAGCACATTGTTCCACGATGTTCCAAGCCGATCCAGAAATGCGTCACGTCGCCGGCTCCGTTACAGTTACGTGACTGGCGTGTGTCGTTCGCCGCACACGGTCGTAATGGACTCTGCCCAACCAAGGGCACTATCAAACCCGGATTAACGCGAAACTTCGACGAGAATCGAGACGTTACGAATCGCGGAGTTCACCCGCGAGCGAATCTTTTGTCCCGGCTGGAAGACGTCTCGGGTCTGAACTGGCTCTCAACAGAAGGGAACCTGTCGAGTTTGAGAATTTTAGAACTCAGCTACAGGCTATCGACTCGAGGAGAATGTCTGGTTTCCAGCGTTGAGATTCCTCCTTCTCTCTCTCTCTCTTTCTCTCTCTGCTCAATTTTCTAATTTTTATCTTCCGTGAGAGCATTTAGCCCGGATACTTTTACTTTTTGCGAAAGCTGCAAAGTGACTTGACAAAGTTATTTCGGTGTATGATTTTGCTTTTTTCACGCGAGAGGATAGTCGCCTGTTTTCTCGAAAGAAAATAAGGGAAATAAGATGTTACTGCGCCCTCGTATATTTGTGCAAAAGAGTACAGCACTGCGAGTGAAAAAAAGTTTAGAAAAAGAGTGATTAACCCTTTTGATTACAGGCTCGGTTATCGGAAGGTACACAAAGGGTTAAGCAGCCGGTGCAGGGAAAGGGAATGGAAAAGGAGATGGAAAAAGGAGTGGAAATTTCGCAATCAGCGTTTGAAGGCCGACGTGCAAGAGCATCGGCTTAAGACAGATTAAAGAGAATCAAGATACAAGAGCTTACGAGTTTCAGTTACCACCCCACCCGGCGAAAGACTTCAATGTCTTGGAGAACAACTTTGCAATTCACCGCAAACGAAATCCCTCGCTTCCCTCGCTCTCGAATTACATCAAACGTCTACAAACAATGAACACACCTTTTTCCATTATCTTCTTTCTCTTCTCTTCTCTCGACTTCTTCCACCTCGCAGCTCGCAACCGCTTCATTTCCTTCTCTATGAGCGGAAAAAATTGCCCGGGACGCGGGAAATTTTTTATAATCTCTCGCCTGTTCTCGCTTTCGTTCATTTCCCTCCCTTTGGAAAACGCGCGAGGATTTCTATTTTCATTGTCCAGATGAATTTTTGAATGAATTTCGTTATTTCGACGCTAAGAAATGAATCGGTGTACGCCTGAGAATGATAATTCCATCGACGATTTTTTTCCAGACGAAAGTCGCGTCCTAACAGCGACTTTATGATTGTGAACGAATGGATGTCCATATTACGTAACGTTTATATTTCGAATAACGTTGACAGTTTGTTTTTTTGATTGTTTAGACTCACGTTGATGCTACGACTATGATAAATCAAACGTCAATGAAACCTAATACGAGAATTACGTAAAATAATCCAGAACCATAAAGTCGCTGTTAGCACGTAGTGTTGAACGACCAAGAAACCATTTTTACCATTTTTCAAAAGAACCACTAGGTTGCGACCTATGACTCCTGAGGAAAGTTTTAGGGTAGAACAAACAATGCAAACGAAAGGAATTTTGATCTTGAAATTCAAGGTCACTGAGATTCCATCAAATCGAAAGGTGTAGAATTCGTCCACGATAGCCACGGACAAACTTTCCTCTTCACTCTGTGCAAACTCTGGCACAGCTCGTCTGGAAAGCTCACGCACGCCATGACTTTTTTTCTGCGGACGTTGGCACGTTATCGTTAACGATGCTGTCTGCGTCTTCGCGCTTTTCCCTCCCCTCTCGTCCTGTCGACGACGTGAAGAGACGCGAGGCGCGTGAACACACGCGCGAACAGAGGAGCAGCGAGAGAATAAAAACGAAAAGCGGGGCCAGATATTGCGCGCCGAACCGCGCCGAGACACGTTTTTCACTACGGCCGTAATTACGAGCCGATCCCCGAGGTCTGCGAAATCGCGCGTGCGTCGGAATGCTCTGGGCGGATCGCGAGGAAACTCGTGCCGCGACGCTGGGGAAAAACATCGAGGCGATGGTGGCTCGACGGATTCCTTCCGAGGAACATGTTAATAGCGGAAAGAAGGTCGGGCGAGGAAACAGGAAGAAAGGGAGGGGGGAGAGTTCTCTCTATCGAGGGATTTTTATTCCCTTTGATGGGCCTCGAGTCACTTCAATCGAGCCGTTCCACAGCAAGCAACGAAGAATGCGAGATGACTTTTCAAAATGCAGTTTGGAAATCTTCAGAATCCCAATTGAATTTCTGACTTTTGACTCTCCGTTCGGCGGAGAGTTTCGAAGAAGAGGAAAGGTTTCTAGCGGGAGGCGACAAGTGAAAACGACGCTTTATAATTTTGAAAGAACAGAGATCTGAAGGTCTTTCTTTTGCTATTTTTGTTATTTTATTTTGTTATTGCCAAGATCTTCTATTTGAATTTATTAATTTTATTACTACACTGAGATTCTTTATTTCATTACTATTTATTTACTATCGAAGTTATACAGAGTTTGTGTTTCGTTTGATCCTGAGGTCTGAAAAGAAGAGTTTACAGGGGAGTAAAGTGAAAACGACGCGTGTTTTAATTTTGAAAAACAGAGATTTGAAAATTTCTTTTGCTATTGCTATTTTATTTTGATACTATTGCCAAGATCTTTGATTTGATTCTATTACTACACTGTGATTCTTTATCTCATTACTATTTATTTACTATCGAAGTTATACAGAATTCGTGTTTCGTTTGATCCTGAGGTCTGAAAAGAAGAGTTTACAGGGAAGGGAAGTGAAAATAACGCGTGTTTTAATTTTGAAAAACAGAGATTTGAAGATTTTCTTTGCTATTGCTATTTTTTATTTTGATACTATTGCCAAGATCTTTGATTTGATTCTATTACTACACTGTGATTCTTTATCTCATTACTATTTATTTACTATCGAAGTTATACAGAATTCGTGTTTCGTTTGATCCTGAGGTCTGAAAAGAAGAGTTTACAGGGAAGGGAAGTGAAAACAACGCGTTTTAATTTTGAAAAACAGAGATTTGAAGATTTCTTTTGCTATTGCTATTTTATTTTGATACTATTGCCAAGATCTTTGATTTGATTTTATTACTACACTGTGATTCTTTATTTCATTACTATTTATTTACTATCGAGGTTATACAGAGTATTTCGTTTGATCCTGAGGTCTGAAAAGAAGAATTTACAGGGGAGTAAAGTGAAAACGACGCGTGTTTTAATTTTAGAAAACAGAGATCTGAAGATTCCTTTTGCTATTGCTATTTTATTTTGTTACTATTATTAAGATATTTTTATTTCATGTTATTACTATTCCATTATTATTTATTACCATTTATTTACTATTTGCGTTTCGCTTGATCTTGAGTAAAGAGAAATAAAAATGGTGGACGACGAACAGTACTCTTTAAATTTTGCAAAGTACAGTCCAGAGTTCAATGAGATTTTCTTTTTTTCTTCCTCATTCATTTAATTCGTTATAAATCGCGTATTTAAAGGGAGATAAAACTTGAGGAGTCAAACAGTGAATACGTGAATTCCGCGCGGAGAAACGAAAATGGACTCCATGGGCAATTAGTTTGGCAATTTTGAAAGGATCAGATCAAATAAAATCTTTTATAAGCAGCTAGATAACGAAGGTGTACGAAAAAAAGCTGAAAGTATGAAATTACACGGGGCGACAAATTAATCGACACGTTCGCCTGCAATCTGGAAACTTTCGCGGCCATCGTCTCCTCCGCTATCGGAAATTATTATCGGTATTATTGTACAGGGATGATGGTGGATATCGATCCGCTCCTTCTATCTCCCACGATCATTCTTCGAAAGATACACTCCTTCAGCAGGATATTAAACTGCTGCGAGTGCAAACACGCCGAAATTTGCACAATTCTGTCGTCCCATTCTCTCTCTCTCTCTCTCTCTCTCTCTCTCTCTCTCTCTCTCGTCGAGAATTATGTTTGTTCGGAAAGTATCGTTTTCGAGAGAGATTTCCGCACTGTCGTCCCCCGTCAATTCGAACGATCTTCGATATTTCAGTCTAACGACGTCTCGCCAAACTCGCTTCTGTTCTAATTCTCAAATGATTGATCGACGCGTAGTGAATTTTTTGAAATTCTCTACACTCTTTGAGAATTTTTCTGATATCGCCGTGGCACGGAATATAAAACTAGCGATTCGCCAAAGGCGTGTGTAATTTTAAATCGAAGACCGAGCAAGGAGGTCATGTTATGTTATTATACATTTGTCGGAGCTTATTCTAGGAGAACGAATTTGAATCGATCCGTACGTTCAATTCAGCCGATAACTCCCGGATCGAGTGTAATTCGTCGTTTTATTACGGAGAGAAGGGGTGAAACCTAATCTCTGAAATGTAATTTCGATTCTCTTAACGCCGGTATCGATCACGGTGTAACGTGTACCCAACTACGCTGCGCGTGTATACACGATTATAATTAACTTGGTAACGAGGTCATCCCTCACCTACAGACTTTTATAATTACGGAGTTGATAGTTGATACAAAGGTGAATCAATCTTAGCCCTTCAGACCTTCGCGAGACACAAATATTATCTGGAAATTAAAGTCGCGCGACGATCCTATTTCCTACCGGGGATCGTTTCGAGATCGTTTCCAGTCTCTTCGTTGCAACAAATTCCGGTTGAACGACGATCCGATCAACGGATTAATGAGAAAAAAAAATCCTTAATTGCTTTCCCGTTGAAAAATATGAAAAAATCGAGCAACTGCGTATTTTTACAAAACTTTAAAAGCAAAAAAAAAAAAAAAAAAAAAAAAAAACACTTCGCTAATCCCGACGTTAAACGTTTCGATAGTTCTCGATTCGTCGTACCGAAATCGCGCGTTAATAGTTAAATATTTAAATATTTTGAAAAAAAAAAGGGAAAAAATCGTGGAGGCAAATTTCGAGAAAATCATCGATAAATCACTGTGCCAAGTGTTTCGACGACTCCTCTGAGTGAACGCTCGTTGGGGTATCGTCGAGAAAACGTGTTAGAAATCGCCGGTGTAGAACACGCGCGCGCGTATCCAACGCGATACATTATTCATCGCGGTGGTTCGCCAGGCAGAAGTTTGATTATTCCGAACATCCGTCTTGTCAAGGTAATATCGAGTTGTGTAAACTTGGAGCATAAATGTCGGCCGGAACACACCGAAATATTCAACTTTTATCAAGTTCCGCGCGCGCCGCCGGGGTCCTGTACGCGATGTATTCGCGATGGCTCGCGAGACGCCATCGTAAAGCCGCTGTTACGGCTTCGTCGAACGAAAATTAATGCGCGACGAGCCGCTTCGCGCCCACGCGTGAACTTCGCCGAAACTCCGGTTTCAACGCTCTAACGATGCCCTCTTCGACGACAAAGTGTATAAAAAAAGACATCGAGAACGAGGCACGATTGCAATTCACAGAAAACGAATTATACGTGAGAATTATACGTCGGGCCGAGTTCCATCCAAACGTGCACTAAAACTGTGACTCGAACTGTTTCGTAAAATTTTAATTACAGTAGCTTTGAAGTTGCAGTTGTCAATAATTTATCGCGGGATTAAAATTACTGCCGAGACTGTTGCCAAACTAAATCTACGTATGCGATATTCGAATAAATATTAACACATTGTGGACGGGAAACGCGAGTTCGCGTCTTTCAGTTTCCAACTGTTGCGGACGGGGAACGCTTTATTGTGTTGTAGGGGACACGATTCAGGCAACGTTATATTTAATTTACGCTATATAATATTACATATAATTGTATATTACAATGTTATATAATTTTTCAAGAAATAGGGAAATTGTTTCCTGACATACCACACCAAGAAACGTTACTAGAGGTACTTTCATTTTATTTAATAAAATACCTCTAAAATGAGAAAATTAATAATTTTAAATTGTTAATAAAATAATACACTTGTTAAATGCTATACATTCTGTTGAAACCTTTCAATCACATATTAAATAATTCAAAAAATACGAGAGAATACAAGCTGTACGTTTATCAGAGCATACGGTCCTCAATGTGTTAATATAAATATAAAATAAATAATAGTTAAACTCTAAAACACATGATAAATAGATTCTCAGATATCACTATAATAAATATATATAGTAACATTTGAGAATATTTTATCAATGTGAATTAAACAAGTGCATATTACGCACTGTACAAAGTTTCCCTGTTGCTCCAAAAATCTGCGAACCCTGAAAAAAGCAGCATTCAGCGCGCCGAGTGGTATTGGGTAATGTGTTAAGACGAAATCGTGCGAAGATTAAAAAAAAAAGGACAGAAAATTGAAAGAAATTGATTTTTAAGCGGAGAGAACCGTTCGACCTACTTTTCACCCCTTCGGGGTCCTTCGCTGATTGAAAATACCGGAGGAAATTTCGACGGGGGTCTCTTGAAAGGCGGTCGGTAAGAGGGAATTGATGGAACCAGTGACCTCGTGGCGGAACACGAGAGGTGCCCGATTTTCCTCGGGGCTGGCGATTCTTCGGCGAAAAAGATGCGTCACGCGGAGAACACGAGGGACGAGACGACGTGCGTCTGTGGCTTAGCGCCGACGTAAGGGACGAGCTGAGAAGGTTGAATTGGCGCTGATTGGGCGTGCGACAAACATCCGGCCGCATTTCGCGTCCCACGACCGAGAATGCGCGCTTGCACTTCTCCCGAGGTCTGCGAGATTTTTTCATCTTGTAGCTTTCATCGTCTTTTTCCTCTTTCTTTCTCTCTCTCTCTCTCTCTCTCTCTCTCTCTATCTTTCTCTCTGGTGGTAATTTTGTCACTCAAGACTCCATCCGCTATGCGGACGCTAAAACTGCGTCAACTTTTCAATAATTTCCAAAGAAATTCTGCGAAGCTTCTCGAAAAGAAAAAAATTGTGTCAGCGCAAAAATATTCCCGAGTGCTGAATCATGGGATTTAGTCTGTATTTCTTGTCACATTCTTTCGATAATTCGAATAAAAACGAAACGAGTGCTTTCTTTTTTTTTCTCTCCTGCACTGCTTGATCAGGCTTTTCATTTATGAGTCATAAATCCTCACCTATCCCTCAAAAACTTTCACACAAGTCTCTCTCTTTGTAAATCAAAACTCTGTAACTTTCTCTTTGTGTTTTTATTCTAAATCCTCTTTTTTTTTTATGTTTCCCGCCGTTATCAATTTATTTTTGCGTACCTGCAGGGAAATTAGATCAACAAGTCCGAGACCACACACGTTACTGTCCACCTGTTTGTATCAAGACTCGCGAGCCTGTTTTTCGATAAGAAGACACACTGAATCTTCCAGAAACTCGTCTGGAGGCAATTATGACTGGCCAGAGCGAACTAGCCAGTTTGCACGAAACAGGCTCGCGAATGGTCAACTGGCTAGTCTCAATTAACCAACGAAGTAGTCTCAACTAATCAACAAGGTTGACTCAATTAATCAACAGAGAGTCTTACATCGTTGTACAAGAGGTGGTCTCCATCGTCAATGAAGAACAATAGTTCTCCGTGTATCGAAAGTAACATCGAGGTGGAACTTATCACAACGCGATTCAGACGATGATTTTCGTGCACGATTCAGCGCAATTAAAGTTACAGAAATTTATAATTATTGATTGCTTATCGAGTCAAATTCGACCGAACAAATTGTTGAACATTTTCAGAGCAGCCTGTTGTCAGTTATTTTTCAGTTATCCCTGTTATTTATAAATTTCCTTAAAACTTCTCCTTAACACTAGAACTAGCGACGGCTAAAGTATAATATTCATACCAAAGGAATTAAAATGCAAGAAAAAGTCAATAATATGATACAAAGAGCACAAGCTTTTACTAATATATTTTGTTAAAAATCGCTCGAGCATCTAAAAATACTGTCGTGAAGGTATAAATATTATATATATATTATAATATTTATTAATATTATATATATATATATAATATTTATTATATTTATAGGAAATCTAGCGTTAATTAAAAGTCCTCCACTTGACATGCTTCAATTTACGCGAAAATTACGAAAACTCTGTAACGAAACATTCACGGTATCTCTGTCCTCTGCAAGTGTACCTGTACACCCACACACACACACACGTGTGCTCACGCAGCGCGCCATTCGTCTGCCTTTTAACCGAAACATTAGAGCTAATTGATGGCTGGCACGTGTAAGGTTCCGAAGATATCGGAGCGTGGCAAATTCAGGGATTTCGGGGTAGGCGTGATTTGGAATATTGCACGGCTCCTCGGGGGCCGCAGTGCCCGGGGGCTCTGCTGCGAGGCAATACGGGGGGAATTCGTGGCCCGACCACGTCGATGCGAAATTACATGTCAATGTCCACGCGAGAGTATTAGGTTTCGTGATTGACGACGGTTTACTCCGAAACCTACAATTGCTTGCGGAATACGGTCATAGGTTATCTATTAAGATTGATCCGCGTCGTCAATTAACCGAAAGGCGTGCACGACCGGCGTCTACGATCGACCGAAGGCGATCAATCGCGATCTAAAGGTAAACGGTCAATCTGATCGACCAACGATCCAATTAACGAAACACTCAGCCGCGGCATTCGCCGACGTCCTTGAAAACAGAGCAGCGTTCGCAAAGTTGTACACATCGAATTTTTAATCTGCCGATATCTGTTGGATGACCAATATTGAATCTATGCAAATACTGACAATAAGCTAAGCACATAAAAGTGGACTGTGAATAGTTAGTCATAAGAGCAAGATCCAATAGTTGGTCATCTATGCTCCTTCCCCTTCCACTTGACGATGATAAGCAAATATATATAAGGACATGCTTTAGAGACATTCCTGCTCATAAAATATTCTAAATCATTATAGAGACATTTTATGTTGTTAAAAGCATTAGACATTCATCATATTCTAAGACATTCTAAACCATTGCAAATCATTCTATTTCATACACGACTGTAAGGGGATAAACTCTTCTAAATTGTAAGCGTGTTGACTCCATTACACGGAATCCAACATATCGACGAATCAGGAATTTAGACAAAATTAAAAGAACGGAAAATGAAAAATCGACAGATCGTTTGACCAATTTGAAACGTTTCAACCAATTAGTTTGAAAATCTAGCGAGCGTTCGACTTACACTTAACCTGGAATCGCGAGTTTCAGTTTCTGAAAATTAATGAAACGACCAACGCGGCGCGAGTCACAGAGCACACGCGTGTATCGCGCGGATTCGGAGAATTCCCCGTGGCTTAACGAATCAGGAATTTAGACAAAATTAAAAGAACGAAAAATGAAAAATCGACAGATCGTTTGACCAGTTTGAAACGTTTCAACCAATTAGTTTGAAAATCTAGCGAGCGTTCGACTTACACTTAACCTGGAATCGCGAGTTTCAGTTTCTGAAAATTAATGAAACGACCAACGCGGCGCGAGTCACAGAGCACACGCGTGTATCGCGCGGATTCGGAGAATTCCCCGTGGCTTAACGAATCAGGAATTTAGACAAAATTAAAAGAACGAAAAATGAAAAATCGACAGATCGTTTGACCAGTTTGAAACGTTTCAACCAATTAGTTTGAAAATCTAGCGAGCGTTCGACTTACACTTAACCTGGAATCGCGAGTTTCAGTTTCTGAAAATTAATGAAACGACCAACGCGGCACGAGTCACAGAGCACACGCGCGTATCGCGGATTCGGGGAATTCCCGTGGCAAAGAGCGTGGCGAGTGGAAGGGAGAGAACGAAAACGGCGCGCATCGTGAAGGACAGGATATCGTTTGCAAATGCTGCACGATGCGTAATTAACTTCAAAGGCCGGTCAGAGGAAGGTTTGGCTCGTCGCGTACTATATTACCGCGCAATTAAGATATAAGTCCCCGAGGAAACCGCGCAGCCAAGCAACTGCCAGCAACAATTTGGCGTTACGTAATTACACCGCCACGAAATAACGCCGAATTTCCAGAGAGCCTTCTCTCTCTCTCTCTCTCTCTCTCTCTCTTTCTCTTTCTATGTGGTTCTAGCGCTAGACGGTTTGCAATCGCCGCCGCCTTCAGGGTTAGGTTGGCTCCATATCGAGCCGAGACGAACACAGTTCGGCCCGCGGGGTTATTCGTCTTTCCGAATTAACTGTGCAACTGGCTGGCACAGAGTCGGTGGCGATCGTTCTCGAGCCAAGATCGAAGAAAATCGAGAATGAAACTGATTTTCGAAAAACCGAGTGAGATTCATTCGGACATTCGGACAATAGAGTGTATCGACCCGGTGGTTTCGAAGTGAAAAGAAGTTGCGGAATTTGAGAATCCGATGCACCGAGAATTTCCCATTAAATTTTCTTGCAAAATTTACTGCTGGAGAAATCGAGGAAACAAAGGAGCACGATTTTTGGAAGATTTAAAGGCTCGTAAATGGCGAATTTAATACTTCTGACTTCCCATTATTGGCAAAAATAAAAAAAATTCTGAACTTCTGTCGAGTTCCGAATTTCCGACTATTTTTCACAGTTTGAAACAAATTGAAAATAAGCTTCGTCACTGGATACTCTTAAATTTCGTCAAAAATTGTTTCCAGCAAGCCGAGAGCCTTCAAAGTAACTTCAAAGAGTTACAATCAGCTGGCCAAGATTTTCGATTTCGTATTGAGGAAATAAATCGCCTGGCCCCGAGAGTCTTTGTCACGTTTCCCATTCATCACGCGAAACAGCTCGTTTCGTGCGTGGCAAACACTATTCATTGCTCGCGGTGAAATTCTACGACCACATTAACCGATCCTAATATTTTACGTCGAAAATCCCTTATTTTATTTCTTTTCGTACGTCAAATTTTTCTTTTTAAGAAACTGATATCTTTTTGAATAATTAAAAAATTAACAACAACATTAACCGATCCCGTGACCGATATTTGCGATATCTTTTTACGTCGAAAATCCTCTCTTTTATCTCCTTTTGTTACGTCAAATTCTTTTTCTTCTTTTTCTTTTCTTTTTAAAGAAATTGATTTTCTTTTTTAAATTTCTATGGAAGCCCGATCGTCTTGACGATTATTCTATCGAATGTATTTCACTGGGAATATTAATCTCTGGGTTCGTTTTAAAGGACGAAGCTCAATAAAGAACGAAATTAAACGTCGATAAACGAGCAATTGGAATAAGTGAAAGTTCGCGGACCTGTTACTCGGTTTTCGCGATCCGATCAATTAGACGGTGATTCCAATGGAATTCTTTCTTTCGATACGCCAGTGCTATCGGTTTCTCTCTCCATTGTGGAGATCTGCTCGATTAACGTTGGAATTGTTACAGTATTCTTATTTATCGGAATTTAATTTTTCCTCGCGCCGAGCGGAATTGTTTGAGACAGAGCTTTTAATCGAGTCTCTTTTACATTATACATTGTACTCATTATAATTATAGTCAATATATCATAAATTTAAGACTTTGATCGTCTGAAAGTTCGCTGCATTTCTCAAAATCGCTACGTCTAATATGAAAAGAGGAAAAATTAAAAAAAGAGGAAGAAAGTCAACGTGAATGTTACGAACTGTTTAAATTACGAGGAAAACTATGAAATTCTCGGTCGACACTCGTATTTTTAAATGTTATAATTCAAACACGGATTGTTTCTCTTCCATCCGACTGCGTCCGCCGCGATCAATGCGTTTCAACTAAGAAAACGAAGAGTTGTTTATCGCCCTGCTACCGAAAAAAATTCCCACGGCTCTCGAAAACGATAAATTTTTCGCGAGCTTTAATTGTTGTCGTGCCCAATGTTCCCCTCTCCCCCTCCGATTTGGGAAATAAATTTTAACTCACCGGGTTCCCGATAGCATTTAATAAACGCGAATGAGCGTTAACATATCGGCGAGAAATTATACGCTTCCGACGCTAACGAATTTCGTCCAAAAATATCTATTATAAAACAACCAGCGAACGTGTGCCAACCGTATTACTCCGCAATTTTCAATTTTCCGCGCGCTACGAAAATTTGTCAAATTGCAATTAACTCGACGATCGATCGTTTATATTCTCCGCTAGCCCGAGATGAATCATCTCGCGTTTCGAAAATAAAAAATTAAAAAAAAAAAAAAAAAAAAAAAAATAAAAAAAAAAAAAAAAAAAAAAACAGCAGATTCCGCGCTCGTATTTTATGCACACAATCGTCACTATATTAATGTTTCGCTGGTTCTTTGCCTGTACAAAGTGTTATTGAATTTTTCCAATTTTCCAACAAATGTAATATCCATAGTTCGTTCAACCAAAACAAGATCCAAACAAAACATCCCGGTTATGGTCTATTGGAGAACATGCATTTTAAGCATTTTAAACTCGCGAGCATCACTGAAGAAACGATAAAAAGGCAAATTTATTTTCCACAAATCCGTGTTTATTCTTGTTTATTTCAGTCCGCAAGTATTCATGCTATTTATGTTACAATATCTAAAAAGAACTACAATTCGATTTTTTGAACGATTTACAGGTTTTTGTTCTAAGGCTTTTTAATAGAGAAATGTCGCTAGATTAACTGCAACACGTATCGCAATAAATCAGAAGTGGCTAACTGGCGACTCGCTCTTGTTCCTACTATAGTTAGCTAACGCTATCCCCTCCACAACACTCATCTCGCCACTACATTGAAATTTCTTCGTCGTCCATGAGCCCCACTCTCCCACTGATACTTTTTACGCGGTAAATTGTAACACTCTTTACGCGTCACTTTTTCTACACGACCTGAATTTACGTGGCCAAAAAATATTATATATTGTAGAACATATTGATTCGAACATTCAACGAGCCTTAAAATTTCAACGAGCAGAAATGGCAAACGATAAGTTTGAGAACGAAAAAATTAACATTAAACGATGAAAATGAAGTTGAACTTGCAAATATTTCAAGCGACGAGGACAACGAGCTTGTGTCAATTGAAAATGATAGTGACACCGAATAAAATTTGTTTTCTGAAATGTCATTATTATTGTTATCTGTTTTCTTTGTTTGTTAACCCATGCGAAATAAATATGTATTTCTATAACTTGTATCAGCTTCTCTTTCCACTATTTTGTATTTTCTTTTTTTGCACTGACAGAATCTATTTACGCGATTATCATTCGCGTGTACGAAAATCACGCTAGTTAGCCGCTATTTAATCCACATGCTTCGCGTCAAACGCTCGTCCAATTGACCTTTTGCGCTGGAATGAAATGCCACGCAAGTCGAAATTTTTTTGTCCCAAAATTGCAATACTTTCTCCCAGGCAAAACAAATGATAAATTTATTACTTCTCAACAATTTCTATCCAGCGATATCGTACCGACGAGTTCAGAAAGAAAGCGACGAATTATTGCACACGGTTTGGTCGCTCGTTACGGTCCGCAATCAGTTGCCAGCGCAACGTGGTTAACAAACGCGAGTCGCGCAAACACCGGTCGAGGCGAAAGGGCTCGTGAATCGAAAAGTTCGGTAGAGAACTCACCTGGACAGCGGGCTGCTGATGATGTAGTGTGTGTAGTAGAATATACTGGCGACGGAGACGAGCAGCAGAGCGGCGACGCATCGTTTCACCGTGGCCTGCTTGACGACGCAGCGCGGACCGACGGCGCTTAGTAAAGGAACGCCAGCCTCGACCGCGGAGATCTTCATCACCATCGTCTCATCCGACGAGGCACGAGCTACTTTGTCTCTCAGATTAGCCGCGAATCGCTCGACCGGAACGGACAGTGGAACGCGTGGAGTCGTGTCGCAGCCGCGCCGCCGGCAGTCCCTGACTTCCGCAACAACGATGTCCTCTTCCTTCCTCGCCGGGCATCGGCTCTGCTCATAGTCGTCCGCCTCGATATCCCAACAGCCTTTTTGCCAACAAGCCTCGCTATCTTTCGGGAGGATCGAACGAGATCAACGCGTCGGGAGAACAAACCGGTACTTTCAGCTCGATCTTGAATTTTCGAGCTTTGAGTCTAAAGGAGGATCCTTCTTAGCTTGGAGAAACAGAAATCTTGTTAGCTCTTTTTGGCTTAATCTCTTTCTCCTCTCTATGTATTTCGGGAAGAACGTACTTTCCCGTGTTTTCTCGAGTGACGGAATTATTATCGACGCCGAGCGTGTTCCTTTCGGCTCTCCTTCGGTGTCCCTTTTTTCGGTCAGGTCGGCTCTCGAAGGCCAGACGTTGTTCAGAAAATCGCAAGCGTCGGGTCCTGGAGGATCGAGTCCGGCCCGTTCCTTGGGAAACATCGACGATAGCTCACGGATAAGGAACAACAGATCGCCACTTGTTGCGTTTCCACGACGGCAGCACGATCGCCATTTTGCGTGCAGCACTGGGTCGCGCCGTCCATCGCCATCGTTTTCTTTTTAACCCATTTGGCTAACGTCCCTCCGATGGATCCGCTCTCTCATTCGCTTCTCAGCGATCTGTGCCTCGAATCCTCGACATTTTTCTCTCCCCCTCTCTCTCTCTCTCTCTCTTTCTGTCTCTTCTTGCACTTCAATTTCCTTCGTGCCGTACGCTCGAGACCATAGTTCGCCAAACGCCAAAGGGAAAACCACCATCGAGAAGCGTCAACTCGCAAGGTCCAAGGACGAATTTCAAGTCCGAGAGATCGACCAGAAAATACCTTCGTCGGTAAAACACTCGCGACGAAATCCGTCCTCAACTTTCGGTTCCGTGGCACGGTCAGCTGATTCTTACGGTAGCGCCATTTGTTACCTGGCTTCGAGATTTGTACCTTCTCGCAGAGAGAGCAAACCTGTTTCACTCGTAAATTTCGCCAGGTCTCGCTCCTCTCCTAGCTCTCCTCGTCGACGCTCTGTTTCTTAACGCGTGTCGCGCGCGTCGTCCTCTCCCTTTCTTTTCTTTCTTCTTTCTTTCCCTCGCCGCCAGGTCCTCGGGCACAAGCTTCCTTCTGCCTGTCAATTAGGGACGATGGAAAGCTACGACGCTCCCCATCGGCTGCGACGATTTTCCAGCATTACCCTATCGCTTTTTTTATCGATCTCGTTCCCGTGCGGCTGCCCCTTTTCCTCGTTCTCGACTCTCTGCAACAGTCGACCGTGCAATGTCCATTAAAACGACTGATAAATAACGAACGATACTGCGTCACTGCTGGCAGTGAAAGGACCAATTCGAAAGGATGTTCTTGGGGATGAAGGGATGTTAAAGAAAAGTGTAGCAACACTTCGACTTGTCGTTTTTAATTTGTTGGATAGTTTACTGAAATCGAGTGAACGATCAATGTAATTTGATCGAAAAAGCGTACTATAAAAATCAGAAGTAATCTAAAATTCGACACCGTATGTTGTCACACGAATAAACCTTGAGGCAGAACGACCATTGACCCTTGATTAACGATACTATGTCATTGTTGGCAGTGAAAAAACTAATTCGAAAGGATGTTCTTGAGTGTAGCAACATTCGACTTGTCGTTTTTAATTTGTTGGATAGTTTACTGAAATCGCGAACGATCTTCAAAACGATCAGTATAATCAATTTTATCGAAAAAGCGTATTAAAAATCAGAAGTAATCTAAAATTCGACGCCGTATGTTGTCACACGAATAAACCTTGAGGCAGAACGACCATTGACCCTTGATTAACGATACTATGTCATTGTTGGCAGTGAGAAAATCAATTCGAAAGGATGAAGGGAGGAAGTGTAGCGTCATTCAGCATTTTAAATTTGTTGGATAATTTACTAAAATCGTGAACGATCTGCAGGTCGATCGGGAAAGGTGTATTAAAAAAATAGAAGTTACTTAAAATTCCAGAATGTTTGTCAAATAACCGTGAAATCAAAATCTCCGTTTGTAAATCTCGACCCTCGGCCAATTAAGTTCTTTCTTTCACAGTTATTTGAACAGAAAAATCAACGATTCGGTTACGAAGGTGGTTAATTAATATCGCAACGCGTGTACGAACTCCTCAGAAGAGAAGTTGATCAACTACGTAACTTTTGTAGCCCCTGGACGCACGATTATTATTTCATTTCTCAAACAAGTCTACAGTTACTGAAGGTTCTTCATTTACGGAGTTAGCCGGTTATAACTCTCGGAGCAACCTGAATTGAAAAACTCATAAATACTATCCGTCTTTCGCTGTTTCGTCGAGAGTAGAAAGGAAGCAAGTAACTTGCGTTCGCTCGCGTCTGCGCAAAGAAGAATTTCATATCCTTTCGTTTATAAAAAAAATTAGCGTTATTACTGCGAGATATTGCAATATCCTGCGCGGTAGCAATGCTGAAATGTAACATTTTCAGTATTACACGTAACGTAACGCGGGATAACATCAAGGGTAAATAAATATTGAAAATTCCACTCTGATGAGATTTTTCTGCACGAAGATGTTCGTAAATCCAAGCGCCCGTACGATTAAAGTCGAATTCGAGCGATGATCATTTTGCAAGGTTAACAAGAATTTCGTTAAAGAAAAAAGAACTCTATAATCACAAATCTTCCAACAAATCTCTCGACAACGAACTTAAAATCACTGATATATAATTTGTAATCAATTTAAAAACAATGATATATAATCCACGCTCTTATTTAGCTGCGATGCGATTTTCTTCTCAATAAAAAATTTGTTACTGTAACATGTTACACTGTGTCAGATGTAAAGCATCGAAAGCATTATATATAGTTTGTTTATTTGATCATATTATTTGTTTATATCAATCGGTTTGAAAAATTAAAATGGAAAATTCAAATTCACATTCTGTCGGATTACAACGTGCTTTCCCTTTCAAGTCGAAACCATAATTCCTAACCACGGGCATTGTGATTCGATATTACAACTCAAAGAATTAACACCGCGTCGTTGTTTTTCAAACAACGCCTGTTCCACTGTGTATTTGAACAAACTGAGACAAATGATTCGCAGAAAATTGAACGTTAACTACAATAGTGCCCTCATAACCGTCCATGAAGAGCTGGTTTAGGAGGAATGGTGTAATTCTGCGAATTGGCATCGAAAGAAAGAGCGAGGACAGCCTCAATTCCAAAAGTTGGTGAGAACAAGTGACGCTCACGAGTCCAAAAAGTGCACTTATGAAGACCTATTGCTGTATTTACTTCACCTTAAAAAAAAAAAAGAAAAGAAAATCACAGACGAAAGTTGGACGAGAGAGAAGCCGACCGACAACAGCGAGTGAGATATTGCGACAGCCACGGGGATGAACCGCAGAGGAACTGGGACGTCGATAATGAACAACTGATACGTCATCGTGGAGTAACCTGTCTCCGGAGGCCGATAATAAACCGGCAGGGAAGTGGGCAGGGATGCAAAAATGGGGGCAAGCCGTCGACATAATCGAGCGATCGGCGGTTCGGAGACCGCCATCAAAAAACGATTAAACAACGGACAAGCGGGCAGATCACGAGTGCTCGACAACTCCAATTAATCGATCGGTACTTTCGCGGAACCGGCGTCGCAATTTCAACCGAGTCTCTCCAACCTCCCGGATTCCTCTCTCTCTCTCTCTTCTCTCGAATTTTTTTTCCCCCCATCGTCGTTCGTACATCGGTCGTAGCAAGAAGTCCATTAATCAACCACCCCCGCAGCGACGCGAACCTTTGTCCCGGGGAAAGGTGGCGCCTCTATCTGTATCGTTTCAAAGAGCCGTGCCCTTCGACCTACCCCCCGCCCCCTTCCAAATCCTCTGTCCCTTTCCTGCTGGTGATTCGGAAAAAGAGAGAGAAAGAAAGAAAGAAAGGAGGAAAGGAGAGGAAATAAATTGAAAATGATCCGACGTAGGATAGAAGGACGACAGGGGGAGGGGAGGGGGGAAGGTTGGGGAATGGGATAGAATCGACACCAAAAAGATTCTCCCGAGGAGGAATATCGTCCTTCGTTCGTCGCTTCCGTGCGTCCCGGGGGAGCTGACCCAACATTTTTCCAACCGAGGAATACTGACGCCTCTCGCGGAATGCGAATAAGAACGGAGAAAGAAAGAAAGAAAGAGAGAGCAGCTTCTCTACGAATGAACGTAGAATTTAATTATATGATCTTTTATTCGGTGGATGGAGAATATACAGGAGAGAGAGAGAGAGAGAGAGAGAGAAAGAGAGAGACTGGTTATACGTGGACAAGTCCGTTTGTTTCATCGAGTAGAGATTCATTAAACATCAACTTGGTCAGCAATTGAACAGAAATAAAAAAAATTCACACGAATCTACGAATCTGTCTTTTTAAATCTGCTTCACTTTTCAGTCCAACGAACAAATGTGACTACCGTCAAAATTCCGAGCCACGGTTTCTAGGCCACATCCAGGTTCGAACAATGATCCGATCGCGGATATGGCAAACGAACCCGAAGGTACTCCCGAAAGATCTTATTAAGCCCTGTATTGCATTCAGCGAGAACGTGCCGCGGGGTCCGGTTCGGATTCCGACGATTCATTCCCAAAAATATCATTTTTACGCTTCTCTCTCTCTCTCTCTCTCTCTCTCTTTCACGCGCGTGCACGTATATCTCGATTTTGACGAGAGCTTCGAGGCTCTCGATGGAAAAAGTTCGCGACGCGAACCGGCTCCGACCGAAAAGGCAGAAAGAGAAGGAAGTTGCAACGAATCGGAGTTAAACGAGGAGACAGAGCGAGAAAGAGAGAGAAAGAGAGAGAGAGAGAGAGGAGGAGGAGGAGCCCCCGGGCTCCAGAACGTACGCGGAATGCATTTGCCAGATTAAAACGCCATTGGAGTGCATCGAGCTGCCTGTAAATATGCTTGTGGAAGGACGAACGAGCCGACGAACGAACGAACGAACGAACCGGTGGCGCGCGGCAGTCTCCCTCGGATGAAATTGGATCTGCGCGATTCCCAGACTCTCGCGCTCTCTAGACCAGACACAAACGAACGAACGAACGAAAGGTTCTTCTCGCGCCTTCTGCCGCTCGAAAACGGAAGAAAGATGGCTCCATTCGGGGAGGGAATAATCAGCGGTGGAAGCCTCGCGTAATCATTCCGCGGCGATCGAGCAGTCCTCTTTTTCCCGCCGATTCTCTCCTACTATCAACCCCACCAACCCCACTCGCGCGGGGGGTTCATCACCTCTCTCGCGGTGTGCAATCTAGTCGGGACGTTGCGCCGCACCTACGTGCGGATCCGCCCTTTAAATCCGCGCACGTGATGCATCCGACTAACGACCCACTCGGGGAGCCAAAACGTGTCTCTTGAATTAAGCACCGCTCAGCCTCGTACGTACCGAGGGGATACGGAATTACCGCCACGCGATGAATTATTCAGATAACAGAAATATATATATATATATGTATGTGTGTGTGTGTGTGTGTGTGTGTGTGTGTGTGTGTGTGTGTGTGTGTAGAACCGGACTTTTTGTTTTTTGCCGATGGAAGTTCTCGGTTCGCGTGGTTCGAACGTAAAGCCTTACGTCCATTTGACAGATTCTCGCGAGAGTTACTCTCGAGAGTACTCTCAAGCGTTGTGTCTATTTCAGAGCAGCTTTGAGAATTTTCTCCGAGAGGGAAACTGCTTACTATCCGATACAACTCTCACAAACCGTGCTCATTTGAGAGTTCATTGTCTCTGTGGCTCTACTCACTGTGGTATGATTTAGTGTGAACAGTGACATCGCTATCGTGAAGGTGCAAAAAATATGTGCCCTCACAGTTGCCCATAATATTTTAGAAGAAAAGAAAAATCAACGTAAAAAGAAGAGTTCAATAATTTAAATTATTATATAATAATTATATTATATGACATTACATAATATTTAAATTATTATATGATTATATTATATGACATTGCATGATATTTAAATTATTATATAATGATTATATTATATGACATTGCACGATATTTAAATTATTATATAATAATTATATTATATGACATTACACGATATTTAAATTATTATATAATAATTATATTATATGACATTGCATGATATTTAAATTATTATATAATAATTATATTATATGACATTACATGATATTTAAATTATTATATAATGATTATATTATATGACATTGCATGATATTTAAATTATTATATAATAATTAAATTATATGACATCACATAATATTTAA